AACAAATGAAAAAATTGCGTAATGCTCGTCGTCGCTATGCAGTCTTATCGATTAATTCTATATAATATTTTTTTTTTTTTTTAACTTTATTTTAAAACATACAGTCTGTAATTTAATTTACAATAAGCATATATGCGGATATACATTTATTTGACATGCGACGCTTGAAAAAGAAGCCACCCAATAGCAACACTTTATATCTATATAATATAATAATAAAACATATAACAATATTAAATCGGATAATTTACAAAAAAAATTTACCACCCTCTTGTCATCATAGTTGTTATTGGTCAGCTTCTTGGTCTTTATCCTCATGAGTTGATGTTTGAATGACCGTATTGAAACATTCTCTGTATATAATTCCAACCCAACTTCTTCAAACAAACACTTTTTATGGTCCTCAAGAGTCATATGGTTTTTAACCACATGACCTCTTATCCCCTTCGCTTTAATCTTCTCTCCTCCTACTCTGTCATTTGCCACCTCATCCTCTGGACCAGCATATACATTAAACGCATATGACTTGGCCCTCAACGCAACAAACTCTGTAATAATATTAGCATCCACCTCATCGGAAAAGAGTCCTGGCTCCTTCTTTCTATTTGCTATATAACATGGGTGGTCACGAGGCAGGTTGGCGGTGTCCATCCGGTCCAACAAGCTACTGTTAGTCGCCAAGTCTTCATAAAAGTCCTTAGTACTAATATGGTAAATCAACGAATCTATAATAATGATATTTATAATGATATTAATTAATATATTATGTATATACATGAGATTAGTTTTAGTATATTTACCTGTATCGGTATACATAAGAGACAATCTAGGACCATAGAATTTCTTCATTATGTTATAATGGTAATCATACATTAAAGTTTTTGAGATTTCTAGCACAGCAAATCCTATTAACATGATTTAAAAATGTTTATTAAAATAGAATAAAATATAATAAGCTGTATATGAGTATAATACTTACCAATATAGATTGGTTTTAAGAAATCTATGATTTTATTCTCTAATGTCACAGCGGTTATATTTTTATTTTCATAATTGGTACAGTGTTTGAACGTTGATCGGTTTATTAATTTCTGTAATCACTGTTCGCTCGAAACAAGCTCCATTTTAATTCTAGATCGTAATGATTCCATCATTTTTCCTGGAAAGTTAAGAGAAAATGTTAGTGAAAAAGTTTAAAAAGTTTAAAAAGTAACATACCAAATACACTATTGTTCATCAGTTTATAGAATTCAATTTCAAACTGATTCCATCGCCTTCTTCCTCATCCCAGAATTTAAATTAATATATTTAGCCAACCATGGAGACTGATTGAACTGCAACACCCTATGAACCTAAAACATAATTTCGTTAATATACATACATATATAAAATCATAATATTTAAACAGTTACCTTTTTAACTTTCAAACCATTTGCCATTGCTTGTTTCAAATTAGGGTAGTGTACAATATAACGTTCTCTAGACTCTAGTGTTGCCATGAGTTTTCTGCTTTTAGATCCATGCGGTATACCACCACCGTTCGGTAAGAATGGTAGATCATTATGATCATCATGCAAGTGCTGAGGATACTCTATACCGACCTCATACATCCGTCCTATCTCAGATGTATCGTTTAAATTTTCTAGTCCATCAAGTGTAGGTTCTACCCATTCAAAGCCGCCACACGGCATGTACTCTGACATTGCCCATCCGTATAAGTTATTACTTATTACCTATATAAGTAGAAAAAAAAAAGATAATCATTTTTTTTTTTTTTTTAAATAAAACATATACTTACAGTCTTGATAAATTATCCATGAGTCCGGTTTACTTATATCGTATTCAGGTGTTTTCAGATTATTCGCCTTACCATAACGCTTGCTTGCTTGTGTAAGACCGCCGCGTATACCTATAACAAAATTGTTAGTTAATAATTATAATTTTTTATTTTATTTTAAAAAAATAACTTACCCTTTTCACACATCAACAACATGTCATAATCTGCCAAAAGTTGAAGTTTTATGGAGGTGAATTTCAAACACGCATCGAAGCTTAGTCCAGGAGCAGTGTAATAAAAAGCCGCATCAAGGCTATACGTTGTTAGGCATATGTCTCGAAAGTTTTCAAATATATCAACCAACAGTAATACGTCTATTTTCAAATATAGATCGCTATACTCGCCTAGAGCCTTACAATCAAAATGCCTCCAAACTTTCTCTGCATGTCGGTATTCCTCGTCTTTAATATTTTCCTCGGTCAGCGTGCTATAGAAAGACTCTTTTGGCGGTAGTGCAGCTTCATCCAATTTCCTCCAACTGTCCGTGTAGTCATATGGGTAAACCCCCTTTCGTGTTGCCAGAGTCATATCATCGCGGGAAAAATGCTTCGAAGTTTCTCTAAACTTATCAAATCCTGGTGTTATTAAATTTTTTGAGAATGTGGATAAGCTTGAAGCCATGAATCTGAAAGTGTCTATAAAACGAAGGGTAAATTTGTTTGAAATATATTTGCTGAATGAAATTAATTTCTCTTCGCTATTCGGAATCACTGTTGTACTGCGCTCATCATATCCCAGCTCCACAGCAATGAAATGTGCATCATAATTGCTTAAATTGTGCAGGTAACACGGTATGAAATTCGGTGTTTGTAATGTTAGATTACATCTGTTACAAATAGTTTGACGATATTGGCCAGACAGGTGACAGTGGTCTCGCACTTTTCCATTTATAATTGTATACTCTTTTGTACATAAATTACACGTTATACTCCTCTCATACTCGTCTTGTTGTTCCTCGCTCATTATTATTGGGTTGTTAGTCTTCAATTTTTCTAGATAATGCCACAACCGTCTCAACAAAATGTTTTGCCACTTCAGCCTGTGTCTCTGATCCTCGATGAATAATTACTGTTGTTGGTATATTCAATTTTTCAAGCAAGTCGTTTGGTACATTCTCCGCCGTTTTCACATAAATACCATAGCTCATGGGTTTATGCATCTGTATTACTGTTGTGCTTTTACCTTTTTCTCACCCATCTTCACCAAGATAGATTCAAAATCCGCGTAAATGACTACGGGATGACGTTGTGTCTTGCTCCAACCTTCAAATTCCAAAATACTACCCTCTGCGGGCATCATCGGTAATATAGGCGTGTGTTCACCGCATATCTTCTTAGGCTGTTCTAGCGCCTCCCGTCCGCTCAACTTGTATTTATGACGCCGATCATCGAATGATGTAAAACATCTCTTACAGAAAATAACTCTTTCGGTGTGACTGGTTTTCTGCTTCCGAATGAGCCGGGAAAAATTTGAAATATATATATAATGTGAGTTGTCTCCGTCCGTCATCAACAACAAGTCAAAATGGTCCGGTCTCTCCTCATTCACCACACGCAGCGGGTACACCTCATACGTGGGAAAATCGTCCAAAATACAGCAACATTGTATTTTAAGTCTTGATGAGGCATACTTAAGTACTGTCCCATCAAGGATATAGCACTACTTGTTGTTGTTGTCTGCGATTGGACATTGGTGACTCTGGAGTTAAGAAAATTCCACACATTGTCATCATCAGTATTCAGATTTTCTTGATATGTAGGTTGTTCTGAAATTAAGTAAACTCTGATTATTTATTATTAATTATATGAGTGTTTAGAATTGAATTCTCAACAATTTTAATTACATTTTTCTACAAAAAGGTTTAATAAAATCACATTTAAGATTAATAATATTTTTGTAGTTACGATTAACATTTATTATTAGGAGCATGGAAATATTTTGAAATATAACCAAACAAGACAAGTGTTGATAGGACATCTGTAAGTACCACCTATATTTAAGGAGTACCTACCTACTTACTTAGTTTATTAATTAGTAATTACTTAATGTATTGATAAATCATGAAATAAACTAAATTCGATTTCATATTTAACTTACCATTAAATGTATCCTCTGGCATCATAAAACGCCGAACTTCATTATCCAATGGTAGATTTGTTACAAGTTCGTATTCTGAATAATATGTAGATTATTCAGAATAAATTATATAAATCATCAAAAATAAAAATTTAAACACAGTTGTGTATAATAAAAAATAATAATCTATTATACATCATTTATGAATAAGATAAAAAATAATATAACAGTCTATAGTTAGATATCAATACAGTCTCGTAAACAAATGAAAAAAATCGCGTAATGCTCGTCGTCGCTATGCAGTCTTATCGATTAATTCTATATAATATAATAATAAAACATAAGTAGGGTGAAAAGGCCGCTACTGGTGATCCCCCGCTTCACCACCCCCCGCCTATACTGCGCCACCCCCACCCCTCCCCCCGCCTAAACTGCGCCACTCTGCGCCAGTCTGCGCCACCCCCCGCCTCACCCCCCACCTGTATCGCGCCAGTCTGCGGCACCTCCCCGCCTAACCCCCCCACCTGTATCACGCCAGTCTGCGGCACCCCCCCGATCACCCCCCAACCATACCTCGGCCACGTTGTCCATGCTTGATAACCTCCCGCTTCACCTCCTACCTATACCTACTTCAAAACCGCCCCCGCTCTCGGGAACGTACGCCACACCACCGCACCCCGCTACCACGCTACACCGCTCCGCCCATTAGACGCTCGCCGCGTGGCGTCCACCCCGTCCGCGGCGCGCTCTGTCCGCGACGCGGCGGGCTCATCGTCCGCCGTCCGCTCGACCAGTATTATATTATCACCGACGGGGCTCCATCTAGGCGCTAATCGGACGGACGCGGTTTTTCGAATTTTATCATATTATATTTCAATATTATCCTTATCATATTATATATATACATACATACATACATACATACATACATACATACATACATACTTTTACCAGGATACCAAGTCAAATACTAACACGATTTAATTGTTTAATATAATTCGATGTTTATTCAATACAAATATCATATACATATATATTATATAGGTTATTGTGTTATAATGAACATGGGTGGTGGTGGTGCTGTAGGTCACCCGACGACATCATACGATTCAGATTTACATATACGGGCCTGACTATTACCATTATCGCGATTATTACCAACATCATACGGTTCTGATTTACAACGACAACAGTCTCGAATGCCTCTATTATCACTACGTTTGAGATTAAATTCATTTTTTACATTTTCAATAAATTCCATGCCTTTATACAATAATACGAATACACATTTAGGGTTGTGCAGGGTGTGTTGCTGCCACACTTCGTCATTTTCCTCCCATTGCCCCAACAATAACCCGCAGTAGTGACATTGAACCAAATCCTCAGTCCCGGTATAAGTGAATCCGCTGGCGGCCAGTGAATATTTATCTTGACACGATCGAGCCGGGTGTGAATCGAATGTTTTCAACCTCGATAAAAAGCTTGTATACTGAGGATATTCCGGATCAGAGTTTTCATGTACCAAAAGCACTAGTGATCGACAACCGACGGTACATTGTAATATATTCATTGCAAATGAACCCATTCTAAATAAAAATAGAATTATATTATATTATATTCGTCGATAGTATTATTCATGTACAATGTACTTCGTCATTACAATAATAACGCGAGTATTACATTATGTCCCAGTATTATACATATTATATTGTTTATTTTGTGTGTGTGTGTATATATATAATATATATATATATTAAGGTTGAAGCACTTGAAGCGTGTTGGTCTTGTGCGACGTGCGACAAGACAAGATGTGTTGTATTGTTCACGCTCGAACGTGGGTCTGAGCGCAACCATACAATACCGCAAAATACCCCGCTTGCGGGCGGATACACCTTATTTGGGTGAAAAAACACAATAATCTTACACCATTATAATATTATGACTATTTAGAGTTTATACAGTAATATACTGTAATGTCATGTATACAGAAACGGAAATTATATTATTCTGTGAATTATTTTTAAAAGGTCTGTCAAGAATGCAAGGTTCTAGTGTGAACGAGTAATAAAACCCGTAACACAATAAAAAAATATATAGGTGTTATGCGCTAAATAATTTACTGAAAACATCATATGATACATTGTGGGGCATTTCCCATACCGAGGCTATCATGTTAATTTTTATATGAAATTCCTCTATTTCATCTTCATCTCGTGACAAAAAAGCGTGTTCAAATGTAAGCTGAAGTAAGACTTCAGCCTGCGAATGCGCCATCACCACGTCTCTGACCTCCCTCGGCGTCGATGATGCACCCAAGTACGCCCAAGCATTTATATTTGTTTTAAAATAATATAAGAGAAATAACGATTTTAGTACTTACAACATTTTCCGCTCTTAAAATTTGTCCTGTATCACCTTCGATATCACAATCTACGTACTCGATATAATTGGACCCGCGGAACAGACGGACTGTTATTCGCAGGAAAAATTTTTTGTACGATCCATTTCATTATCAATATAATAAACGACCATGGTAATAACCACGTTATCGGTTATGATTAATTCTTATCACTTATCACAGAAATAATGTGTACCAACCAACACTGAAATACAAAAATTCCCATGCATTTCCCTCAAATTCAAACGTAATTCAAATTTATGTATTTTTAAATTCAAATAAATAAAAATAAATATAATAAAATAAAATAATATAAAATAATATAATATAATATAATATTTTAAATAATAACTTTTTGGAAACGATTTCTAGAGTAGTATAATTCCTCGAAGAACAAATCGACCAAGCCCGGATCAGTTTATATTTTTGGCAAAAAAACCGACTAAAATCGTATAACGCTGGTGTGTTAGACAGAATTAGATAGAATCGGAAAAATACAATGTACTAAATAAAATTAGCCATACAGGGACACATGGTACATCACCATAGACACCATGTTATTTACCTATTCATTGCATTTTATCTTATCATAATATTGGGTCATAAAAGTAAAATTTAGACACTCAAAAATTAATTGGGGATAAACGTGTATATTTATAATACTATTATACTATACCGAATATATTTTATGCTTTTCGACTTCAGGATTATTGGAATATTGTCAATTTAGTAGATCGTGTACTCCGTGTGTCATCACAACCACAGTGAACTTTCTTTATTCAGTCACTGCCGACTAGTAGATTTTCCGCAGTTTCCAAATTTTTAGTTTTATTTTGACGTATAATTGTTTTTATAAATTAACGTATTGTTTTTTAATATGTTTTCCTGCGAGGTTTGTCAAGCTGAGTTTATGTCCATTTCAGGTTTAAATAAGCATTTAAGGACAAAACATGAGGGTTTTAAAAAGCACAAACTTTTGAAAAAAAAATGTCTACTTCTGTAATGATTGTGATGAATCATTTAATCTTAAGTCATTGTTAATTAAACACGTCAAAGGTCACATAAATATCACCGACAATAATATGTCATGTTCATTTGCTACATGTAGTAAGTCTTTTCATAAGATGAACGGATGGATTTCCCAATTATTAATATTTGTCCTGACCATCTAATACAAACGATTAGACCTTTCTATTAATGCACTACTTGCTATGTATGTGTATATACATATAAATGCTCATGTATGAATAACATTATTTATTTTATTTATATATTCTATTCATGCATGTGCTAAAACAGAGACTAATGCTTGTGTAGTATTGTTGAAAATTGTGATGCTTGTAGTTGTCCTGACGTACACATTATTTCCGTGATAAGTGATAAGAATTAATCATAACCGATAACGTGGTTATTACCATGGTCGTTTATTATATTGATAATGAAATGGATCGTACAAAAAATTTTTCCTGCGAATAACCGTTCGTGCGGAACAGTAGCAGCGCTACTGTCTGTTCTAAATTCCAATATTCGAAATGATACATTATTTTGACCCATAATTCTGTCACCAAAGTATTGCGATTTCCCCAATTTATCAGCGAGTAGTAGGCTAAGTCGAGCTCCATCAAAAGTATCGTGTCCCAAAGCCCGTCTTCTCTATTAAAAATAAATAAATAAACATATTTATGAAAACATATTCTAATATGATAAATATAATTACTGATTTTCTTCTTCTTCTTCTCCGTCGGACCCGTTCCCAATTTGCATCAGTTCATTGGGGAAGGGATGGTCGGTGTCTTCATCCTCATCTTCGCGATGAGATTTGCTAAATAATAATAATAATAAATTTTTTAAAA